TCTGTGTGTTTTCTTTGTGTTTGTAGTGGCAGATATTTACATTGGGCACATGATATTCTTACTGTAAACACTGTTGGAAGACAAATAAAGAAACCAACAAGGAAAAACAGAGAAGGAATTTTGCCTGAACACAATTTTACCTCCTACACTGACCAGCTAAATTCATCTAGGGATTTTAAAACTGGAGGATACACATAACTATCAGGATAAATAACTAGCAAGAGTATAATTTTTGTTTTAAACAAAAATTCTCCATGCAAACACTCCAAATGTACTGGAGAACAGGCAGTCATGTTGACAGCTGAATCCTTCAAATCTGAAATCAATACATGCTTTGCTTTTTACAGAAGGAAAAAAAGTGTGCAAATATACAGTAATAGTACTTGATTCATGTAATTAGAATAATATTATAATTAAAGATTCTATAGCATGATTTCTGCTTGTAGAATCTGATCTAATTTCTCTGATAAATGCTCTTTTCCTATTATTGGGCTGTACAACAGACCCTCAGTAGTTCAGGTCCATGAAGATCAAAAGAAAGGTTTGAAAGAGCAACAGGCAACAATATCATTCTTTCACAGTTCAAATAACAGGGAAGGAAAATGGAAAGGACACTAGCTGATCTCTCAGGAATAAGGTACAATAGGAGGGATTAATTAGTTAAACCAATGCTGTATTTGTCACTCCTCTCTCCCCTAATCTGCACGGATGCAGCTTTAAAACCCACAGTGATAAGCCAGTTTCGTTAGTCTTTGTTAACATTGTTTGTGTACCTGAGTTGAGGGTAGCAGACTCTGAACTAAAAAGTCAGTATTCTATCATATTATTACCATATGGCTGAAACACACAACACATTTCTTAAACATGTAAACCTCATTACAAACAGGATGTTCTGGGGCTATGGTTTGGGTTTTTTTAATTAGATGCACAAAAGCCAAATGATCAGTGATTAACCAACAGTAGTACCTGAATTTGACTGACAAAAGTTGAAATTAAATCTGATTAAAAGAAACCCAAACAAACTTGTAAAACTATTTTTTCCAGAAAAAAGATAAATTTAACCAAAAAGAGAAATTAAAAAGCTTTGCTGTAAAGTTTGGGGTTTTTTCTTGTTTTTGTTTTGGTTTGGTTTTTGGTTTTTGGTTTTTAGGTTTTTTTGGGTTTTTTTACAAGAGTAAATTAATTCTGACTAAAACAGAAAGGGGAAGAAAAAGAGAAACATTTTTCCAAAGAGCCCTGAAGTCTTCTAGGCGAAGGCGACATATGATGCAGTTTCCACTCTGTTAGCTCTATTTAAGGCTGTGCTTTGCAGCCTGGGTTAGCCACTAAAGAGACACAGCAATTCAGTCCATCCCTAAGCACACACTTAACTTCCAGTGTAAAATTATTTCAATGAGAATGCTCTTGTAAACAGTGTCATGCAGGAATGTGTGCAGAACTGTAGCCTTTACCTGGTGATGTGTTTGAACAGCTTCACAATGATGTCTGTCTTCCACATCAGATATAAACTGCTATTATTCCCTCACAAGGAATGGAAGTGTTAGAATGTTAAAGAAATAATTGAAGTTAGGATTATATTCTTTAAATACTTTGCTATAATAATAATAATAATAATTTAGTGTCCTTTTTATTGAAATATTATTTGCCTGACTTGCAGTGATTCTTTTGGATGAAATAGTTCTTCCTCTTTTTCAGATACTATATTTCTATCTGGTTTTTAACAATATACTCAGGTCTGTTCTATACAACTGTGTTGGCTTTAAATCTTACTGGCTTTTTCAGATACACTTCATACATGTATATAAAATTATACAGTATTTTTGAGTTATTTGGTTTTGAACTGCTGAACAACAGCATTTTAAATGCATTGACACTTGTTACAAAATTCAGCCACAAGTTACCTAAAATGTTGTGATCTTATTTAAATAAAACAAACTCCAAAATGTCTATAATATTACCCAGTTTTACTCAGCAGTAGATATTTATCATTTGAAGAAAAGATTACATTGAAACATTTAACTGTTGTTACTTTAGTCAGGGTTTTTTACACTTTATTTATTCTATGCATTTATTTTTATGACAACATGAAGACTTATAATCTCTTCCTGTAGTATTCAGTCCTACTATAGGGAAAGCACTGAGCTCTTTAAAGACTTCCAGCACAGCAAACTACTCCCTTATTTTTTTTTTTTTCATTAATTCATTATTTGTTAAACAGCCCATCAGTAGTATTAAGTAAGATATCAGTACCTGACTACTTTATGTCCTCAGTATGGTTATGGTCATTGTCTAATTTGTTACTAAAATTTTTGTTAGGGTTGTTTTTGTGAAAAATATTATGTTATAATGTAAAAAAAATGCAACAGGAAATCCATGGGGAGTAAAAGTCTTAGAAAGTGCCAGCACTTTTATGGTTTAAAACAATTCCATTGCAGCAGACCATGGAGATCAGAATATAGCTACAGTTTACCATAAACCTGCATCCTTTTTAAGCATTAGAATTACACTGCCTATTTTAAAAAACTAATAATATGTAAAAATGTGGGAACAGCTGTGAAGTTTCAGATTTTTCATACATTGCATATAGGAATTTTGAAATTTTCCTATTACTATAGAAGATTCCAATATGAGATATCAAACTGCCCAGTAGTTAGAACTAGCCCTGTCCCATGACAAATTTTCTCTTTTAAATGTGGATTAATGGAAAAATTGTAACCCAGTGGACATTTGCAAAAAATAAAAAAAAAAAAGGCTTTGCTGGTTAATAACAAATATAATTTTTGTCTCATTTAACAAATGACATATGAAATTTTCTGAAAGGCATATGGTACTAATTAAACATGATATTAGTCCCAAAGACAGTCAGTATAGCCATGAGGTATACAAGGAATGTTTCCCCTAAGTATACATTATCTGTGTATTGATTTGATGGTCTGATTGGATAACAGCCTTGGTAGCAAACAATGTTTAAGGATTTGGGAACTGCACTTCTATTCTTATCCATATGAATGCTGCAGTTGCCAAGGAAAACTGAGATAGTTAATAAGCAAGCAAATTAGGAACTAATCAGGATCAGTTTATTTTCATTCATTCATTAACCACTTATTTTGGTATCTATTTTCAATCTTTGCTTTTACATTAGATCACTGTGCTGCAATTCTTTTGCCAGAAACCACAAAGTTAATAGTCCTATTTTTTAAACAAAAAGAATACACTAGATTTCATGTATTTTAATGACTAACAAATTACTAAGAAACACCTAAAAGTAAGTTGTTTGATTTACTTTGAAAATTCTTGTATATACAGTGTGTATAAACATACTTTCACATACCCATCATCAATTGCACTAATTAAATATTTGTTCTACTATCTCAGGTATGGATAAATTACTAACTGTAAATGTTAGTCCATCTCTATATAACTTTAATTCTCTTTTCAATTCAAAGATATAAGCTTCCTCTAGCATATAGTAGGTAAACTACTGAAAGGATTAAGAAATTGAATGCTGTGTTTGTTCTGATTCATAATGATCACTTCAGGTAAAACTAACAGCAGCAGTGTATTCCCACAGCTGTCATTTGGTTTGTACTATCCTAAGCAAAATAAAAAGTAAAATGGTTGAGTTGCTTGAGCTAATGTGAAAATGGTAAATGACCTTCTGTTAACCAGAGTATTTCTGTGCAAAAAACATCAGAGTCTCAAGACCACTATATCTAGCATCAGTTGGTTATTTTTATTGAGACACTTCTTGAAGAGTAACAGAGCAGCAGTTTGTGTCTTGAAAAATAGAACTGACTCCTTTGTAGTCCCAGTAAATTTCAGAGTAGTAAAAAAGGCATACAATTTCAATAGTGCTCTGAATTGGCCAACTAACTCAATCTACCACCACCTGCTAAATATATTATCACCATTAACACAAAGAAATGTGAACTGCTTCCTAGTCCCCCAACAACCAAATATGCACTCTGCTTTTGATAATAAGACTTGAGAAAAAGCAGTGAGAGTTAAGTAACAAGGGTGTCACTCAGTTTTAAAGCATCCCGAAATAAAATCACCTGTGACTCTTACACCTAAAATAAGATGACACTAAAAATAGACCTGTAATATTAATAGCCTGCTGCAAAACAGTTTAACACTTAAGATACAAAAGCCTCTTGGCAAATGAAACATGGCAACTGAAGAATGAATTCTGGACAATAATGTAATTTTTGCATTTCTGCACACTACGCTGAAAGGTGTAACTAAACTCTTACCTAACTACAAAAAACATTGCACATACACTTATCTTGAAGGCTCTACATTAACAGGTGGTTTCAAAAATATTTTCAAAGCATATGGAAACATTAAGTTTACCCTGTAAACTTAAGATGATCTGCTCTTAATATGCTGTATCAATGAAATGAAAAGAGCAATAACATTTAAAGTAGCTGAATGCTCATTATGTAAAACAAGCTGCATTTTCCTGCTCTACCCACAACATTATTTCTAATTGTGAAACAGAATAAGAATTGTGCTTTCTACCTTACAGGTCTAAGATTTCAAATAACATTTCACTTTAAAAAAATACTTGTCTTTAGAGGATTTTAAAACTGAAAAATTCATGCATGATTAACAGCTCTCCTCACATCAGGGAGTCTTTCTTTCCTCCTGTATATTGCACCAGACATATTGAAAGCCTACGTATCCAAGATATATACAGTATGCTTGATAACACTGAAAACATAAATTAAATTAGAAGAGGGCTAAAAAATCCAGCTCAAATCAGCTTTTAGTTTAGGAAGAAGGTTTTTATACAGCTGTAGAATATTATTTGCAGGATTGATTTAATGTAACAAATTAACTCAGCCTCCCAACCCTTCCTTTCTTCATTTACATTTAATGTATTATGCAACAACAAAAAAAATACAAATAGAGATCCTTTCAGCCTGACTATCCTGTCAGCAAAACCAGCAGAGAATTTTTCATTGATAAAAACAGAGAATGGAAGAAAACAGACCAACCTTCACAATGTACGTCACACCAGGTCCCAGGATCTTCTCACTCGAGTGCAGCCATCCTCGAGAGGATTTATTGACAAAACTGCTAGTTTGATTCCAATCTTCACTTCCCAGGTGCATTTCCTCTGACCGTGCTTTTTTCCCCATACTCATCTTGCTCATGTCCTGCTGAGAACACGAAGTGGCAGAGACAAGGTTACATGTGTTGTCTGAAGCCCCTGCTGCTGAACTAGAAGCACTCGAGCTTCCCTGCAATTTGGAGACAGCAAGCTCCTTTACTGCAGAGGAGAGGTTTTTGATACCCAAAAGGCTGCCCGTGCTAGAGAGTTTCAAGTGGGACACTTTATGGATGAGGGTACACAGGGTGGTGGGTCCATCTTCTTGGTCCTTGCGAAGAACCTCTGGTGAGACCAGGTACGAAGGTGATGCTGAAGTTGTAGCAACTGCTGAGACTTTGCTGTTCATGGGCAAATTGTGAATAAGATCATCAACAGATGTCACAGAATCATTCCTGAAGCGGTTATACTTGGTACGTTGAAGCATGCCCTTCTATCTGCTTTCCTGCATATGTTCTGGCAAATCTGATGCCAGTGCAGGAGATGCCTGTACTAACATAGCAAGCAATTCATAACGGCACGGAGGGTTAACAAGAGTTTAGGGTGAAAAAGAAAAGAGCATAAGGAAAAATGAAAAAAAGATATATTTTTAAGAAATTTCTTTTGGTTCCTTGTTCAGGTTGGGTGAAGTAACAGTTTTCTGTGACTGAGATCCCAGTCCTGCTTAGAGCTGCCAACTCGCTCACAGCAAAAGCATGACTCACACAAATGAGAAGGACCCTTTTCAACAAAAGGCTGTGAACACTGCAAATCACTTCCTGTAGCCAAAAAAAAAGGAGAGAGAAGGAAAAAAAAAACCCACATCCACCCACTTACAGCACACTAGCACCAATCAATTCTCAAATTCCCTTTTCCTATCTTCTCAAACAGATACTTCCTCCCAAGCTTTAATTCATATCCCCTCCCACTACCCTTTTAGTACCAAAGGCAATTACCTTTATGAAACACCACACTTTATTCATCTGTTAAAATGTTCTTCCACCTCACATATTTGTGAATCTATAAAGAAATCACAATTAGATAGCAAACATCTGGATAATATTTGCATACATATAATCCTCCTCTCCTGCCACTGCAGCAGAACACAGACACCTTAAAGGTTTTCAGAACAGATGAACAGAACTAAAGAATATATACATTTTTTTTCCACAAAAGCAGCCTATTAGTGCCTTTTTGTCAATGCTGTCCCTCACAGAAACTATTATATTCAAATTTTGACAGAGAAAGAAATCCTTCTTCCCTGTTATTTCACAAGAACATTCTATTTTAATGCAGGAATTACATAAGTACCTATGTGTGAGGAAAAGTATTTTTCTGATGTCCAAAAAACAGGCTTAATAGACGTTTTTTCTTTCACAATTGATATTCACTCCGAAGAAAGACATGAAGAGGGTCTTCAATTCACTGGAATGTTTGATTCAGTTCTGAAAACCTGAACGAACCCTGAGAGAATATTAAAAAGTCCAGGTAGCAGCAAACTGACACCCTGCAGTGAGGAAAAAAAAAAAAAAAGCCTTTATTAAGAATAAATGTCAGTCACAAACACTTGATCTGGAGAAGTAGCAAAACATGCAGAAAACAGGTATTTAATTTCTCCTGCAATTTCTTTAGAAATCCAAATGTGTATAGCATTGTGATACACAATGCCCATCACAAGCCATATGGCTTTTTCCTATAAATCAATCTGCTTTGCAAAACATTTTTTGGATGTAGGACAACACACTGCATTATAAACAAATTCAGATCAGAGAAGTTGCATAGTACAAATTTTCTAAATAAATTACTAACTGCAGCACAAATTAAAGGAAAAAAGCCTATGGAATTCCTTCCTCCTCTGAAGACTAAAGGCTGCAGTATACAAACTGCAAAAGCAGTGGAACAGCCGGCTTAAATACAGGTATTTAATTAGTATATTCATGACATACTGAATTAAGTCAGCACCTCTTATCCCAGCAGTGATGAATAATGGCAATATCCTAGTCAATGTAAAGCAGTTTTCTACTGATCTGCAGAAGAGCCTTTCATCACCACGCTGCAAACCTGCTATAGCATCCTCACAGCATTCATTCCTCTCGTCATCCTCCTAGCACAGCAACAGCAAATATACACACCACAGCCTATTTTTAGGTGTTCCTACTGCCCAGAAAACCCTACAGCTCCCGAATGGCTCTCTTGGTTAGAAGCGGCCAGCAGGACTGCAAAATGTGAATGAGATGCTGCGCGAGTGAATGGAAGGGCTGGCTAGCATCCCCACATTTCTGTGAATGAAGCGAGGCCTCGCAGCCTCTGCCAGGCAATCCCTTGGGTGCTCACCAGCCCAGCCAATACCAGCCGGCTCCGATGACTCATTCAGCAAAGCCTTGCTAAATAGTGGAAGATCCCATTTCCAGCGCAGGCGGCTCCTTTTTCGCTGCAACGCCGGAAAATGCAGCCGGAGTGTCAGCGGACGGGAGGGAGAGGCGAAGCCCCTGCAGAAGACAGGGTGCTGCCAGAAAAATACCTGGGGTGTCCACAGGAGTCCCAGGTTTGGAAAACAGTGTGGAGTCTGATCCCTGTTCCTCCCCGACTGTGTTCATTCAGCCAATTCATTTACATCCAGGATAGGAACATGAATGTGCACATTTTGTTTGATATTCGGCTGCTCTCTGTGCACCCGCAGATTCACAGATTTTACAGGTTTGTCTTCAGAGACCTCTGACCAAAAAAAAAAAAAAAAAAAAAAAAAAAAAAAAAAACCCAAACAAGCAAAAAAAACCCACAACGAACAAACAAACAAAACCCAAACAAAAAACCCACCCAATCAACAAACTCCCCCATAAAAATAATCACAAAAGCAATCCCAAAGCTCTCCTTGAAAAAAAAAATTGCATATACTTTATTTCTCCCTTATTTACCCTGTTAGCACAGTAGATATTTAAAGGCAGTACAATCGTCACTCCAGGAAAAGGCAGACAAAGGGAAAGCTAAAGGATGAAATCTTCCCAGAGTACCAGCAAAAGGTCTGATTTTGAAACTTTCACTGGACAGAGAAATGCTTGCAAGGCATCCATTGGATGCAGAGCTCTACCACAAATTTGACATTAGGCACTGCAGAGGAGTAGAAGCCACTGAGTTACCCCAGGCTTGAAATTCTATTTTAGTGTCTGATCAGGAAATTGTCTCCCTTACAAATCCAGTCCTTGGGTAGGAGAATTGAACATTTCAAAACCTTGCCTTTTGTAGTTCCAGGGACTAGAAACAGTACATAATTTTGCCCTGCAGGCAGCAGGTTCAAATCCAACTCCAGGAAATAATGAATGAAATTAGGAGGCTGTGTAATAGGCATAAACTGCAATTTAAATTAGGATCTAGCTCATTCTAACCATTGCCAGGGCATTGATAATGCCTTCTGCATTTCCAGCACTGTGTCTGTAGTTTGCACACTGACTTTACCATGCCTGCCTTAAACAAGGTTGCTGCTATTCTCTTGCAAGACAGCAAGACATTCAGAGCACTATTTTTTCTTACTTCTATTTAGCAACCTATGCTAAGTCAGCATGTTGAATTTCAACCAAGTTGAAAATGAGCCTTTTTCTTTTCTTCTTTTTTCTTTTTGCAGGCCTGTAACGCAGACACTACATCAGGTTTAATAAATGGCCATGGAACAATTACTCCTTTGGCGAAACAGTAATAAAATGGCAGATGCAAATTCAATGTCAGTAAGTGAAAAATAGCATGTAATCCTAGAAATACATACACAGTGAGAGGGTGTACATTGCCTCTGACAAAAATACAGCATTTCTTACAAACTACTGGTAATTTTGGCATCTTAGACCATTTTTTTCTTTCTTGACTTTTTTTTATGTTATTTTTTTCTGCTTTGTTTTTTTATGGATACTCTTCTTACCCTAATTCAGTTCTTGTTTCATGTCCTTTTCTTCCACCAAGCAGGTCTTAGGGGCTTATTCTTAGCTGCCACCTTTTTCCTTCTGTATCTAAACTACCTCTGCAGCCTGTATTTTAGAAGCTACTAATTTTTATTAACCACAAAGAGTAAGAAAAGAAATTATGCTGGGGGTATGATTAGAGGGAGAAAGTACATTTTGCTGAGGTTTAAATGGTTTTAAATTGCTGCAAATGTAGGAGACATTGCCAATACACAAGCCAAACCAGGTAGGATGATGTGACCACCATAAAGAGGAAATACATGGAGTACAACTACTACATCCCTCAACCTATAGTAAAAAACTCTCCAGAATGCAAAAATGTGACTTTCAGTGAACATATTCAGAGAAATGTTAATATATAATCAGAGTTGGCAAAAATACCTCGTTCCAGTAACACACTGTGGTCAAGTACAAACAACAAATAAATGCTAGAAACTGTTGAAATTCTGCTGAAATATTTGCATTTTCAGAGTTGTTGCCTGGTAGCAGTAAAATTGCTTGCAGACTAAACTGAATTTAATATAAATGAGAAATACCTTAACTTTGGATCAAAAAAAAACCCTCTAAATGGAATTTGGATTAGCCAAGTTATAAGAAACACTGAATATGTCAGACCAACATAAATATAGATGTTGCTAAAGGTTTTAATACTTCACAAATTATAGCCATAGGGCATCATAATTAAAATTCCTCCTTATGACAAATCCTAAACAATTACTGTTGGTGTGATGCAACATTAAGCCATCAACAAATAGGATGCTCTTCCTTACATTGTAATATGACAGACACAAGTGTTAATGATCTGCTTAATAAATATTCTTGGTGAATCTTTGATATTAACAAATCATCAATTCCTTAAATTAATAGATAGCATTTCTATAATACAAAGATTTCTAATACACTGTGGAAACATTTCTTCATTTGATTATTAAGATGGAAAAATATCAGCATTCTTTGCACAACACAAGATAGACATATATCAGAAATCTCTTACCCATGTATTTATTAATCAACCTAATCCAGCCTTCTTTATGTGAGACAACCTCAGATGATGTAGTTAGCAGAAAAGCAAGATAACATCAGGATAAGTTAAAAAGCATTATGATCTAACTTCTTAAGATGTATGTAGCTATTTTAATTTTAAAAAATGAATTTCTAAGCAATTCTATATGTTCTGTTTGTACATACTTAGCATATCATATTCTTTATTCCTCTGTTTCTCTGACCTTCCTGCACACAGAGCTCAGTTACATCCTACTGTGATTTCAAGGGGGGCTCATCCCATAGCTGCAAGAATTATTGAAAGGCACTGTACTTCTGTCAGTGCCAGACTATACACTTCTACTTCAAAACTTTTTTCAGGAATCAAAGCATAGACTGGGTTCACATCAATTAGGATTTTTTTCCCTAATGGGTGTTTGAGTTCAGCCTGCAAAAAACCCTGAAGGCAGGTAGGTAAAGGGTGCCGTTTTCCAGTAGCAGAAAAACCAATCAACCAACCCAAAATCAAGGAACACCCCCCTTTCCTCTAAAGAACCAAAGTGAAATCAAAACTATTCTAACAAATTCTAGTTAATTTATTTTACTTTAAAAATCCCAAAACTATAAATTGGCCCCATCTCCCTTTCATCCTCACCCCTTTTCTTTCACTGGATCAGAGTTTTGCTGTTTCCGTGGCAACATTATTGCTAAGGGTGGGCTGCACCAGGAAATGGGAGCATTATCCGTGGTTTTGCAAATTATCTCTCTGGAAAACCATACTGTTGAAAGCATTACCATTCAAGATCAGTGATTATTAATCATTAATTACCAACTTCCAACTCAAATTGCATCAGTG